CCATTACAGGAAATAGGCTCCTCTCCTAATAGAGTATAAACTTACATCAATGAAATTATTAATAACAGCTTAAGGTTTTAAATGAAATATGTAAATCCTGTATAATACAATAAGTAGAGAGAATGTCAACAGCTATCTTATTATTACAAAATACAAATTGATTTTAATTTTGATAAAAATGCTAAAGTCACTTTGTTAGTGTAGTATATACCTTGAGTACTTCAAAGATCCTCTTCCATTCTTCCTTTGAAGGATCAACTCCTGTAGGATTATGGGCACAAGTTTGCAGTATCACAGCTGATCCTTCAGTAGCAGACTATATGAACATAAAATATAATTAATGGAGAGAGGGGGGGCAGGAGAGACCTTCAAGTCTTGAATCATTCCCTCGATATCAAGTCCTCTGGTGGTCGGATCAAAGTAACGATATTCTCTAATTTGAGTGAAGCCAGTGTTGCTAGCAATACCACGATGATTAGCTAGAGAGGAGGCAGAGAAAAGAGGTATGTCAATAGAGATAAAAGGGAAGATAAGGAGTGCAATGAACAGGGGCGTAGCTGGACCTTAAGTGACGGTAGGGCAAGAGAACAAAATGGCGCGCGAAGCGCGCCGCGATTTTGGCCACACCCCTTTTACGTATAAAATGGAGGCATTTTCCTGCAAGCTGAGCGAAATCAGAGTGAAATTATCATTGTATAGAGCTTTAAAAAGAGCAGCCATCCCCTTTTGTTATTGTAAGAACAATGAATATAATCTTTTGGGTTATAATTTCAATGAATATAATTATAAGGCCACTTTGATGGTAGGGCCCAGGCCCCCTCAGGCCCTACCTCAGCTACGCCCCTGGCAATGAATATGATGATGATCACACATTATGACATATTATATCATTATATGCTTACACCAAGTTGGATTAGATATATAAATTGTGTCAATTTCAAGAAATTTCCTGATTAGTTCCAATGCTGCACGGATGCTACCAGTACCAGATAAACACTGAATAGAACAGTACTAACAAAGACAGAGAATTGAGTATGTACATTGTACATCACATTTGAAAGTGCACAAAACCCTGGACACATCAAAGGCAATCATGCAATAGTGCAAAATAGCAAATTCCTAAATTAGGCACAGCAGTCTAACAGCCATGTAGATATAATCAGAGATAATGAATACTATATAGCTATAAAGGCTCGGCCACCATAGTACGAAGGTGTGGTCTAGCACGGCAAGATTATAACCATAGATAATAGAGTAAATGAAAGGGATCGGAAACGGAAGCGTGGGCATGGGCAAACCTCCATTCATTTGTATTGTTGCTAAGTAAGCAGAGGCGGGTTGGGATTTTTTGACAGATTTTGAAGCAAAAAACAGAGATTTTCCTGCTTTATTCTTGAATAACTCCAAGAGAATACAATTCATGCAAACAAAACTCACACACAATATTTGCCAATGTTTATGCTTTTTATTAATATTTTTTGTTCAGTAAATCAATGCATGTGTTAGTAGCCGCGTCACTCTTTAACTAGAAATACCATCTTTTCCCCACTGAAAGATTCATTTTGTTCTTGAGCTACAAATAAGTATAACCATTTTAAAGAGCTTGAAATCTCCTATGGAATGAGCTAATTTGCACGTTGATACCATGAAGCTTGAGTGTTTTACGAACAATAAAGTGTTTCAAAAACCATGTGACTTTGTGTACCTATAGCTGGTTGCAAAATGGCTTTTTGGAGACAAAAACCTTGCTGCAGGTAGCTCTAAAAATTCTATGTGGAATAGGCTATATATCAAAAGCAAGCGCTATCCTGGTGCAACACAAATTTCCTTCGAAATCCTTCCAGCGCAACTTCACCAATGGAGGAGATGGGAAATCAATCAAAACACTGATGGTTGTCACGTGGTAACCCAACCCGCATTTTCTGTTGCTACGCCCCATTTCCAATCCCTTTCATTTACTCTAATATCTATGCTATAACCCATTTAGTCTCATGGCACCAGATCATGCCCTCAGTACCTGCAAAATTAAACGGCTATTCATAGCTTTAGGTTATTGACTTTTGCACGCATACTCTGCATTATTGTCTTACTCTGTTTTGCGTTACAGCTGGTCCATCTGATCCCAGTACAAGTCTTGTTGCAGATTCAGTGAATGACTCGAGCCCATCAATGGGGAGGTACTCGTGATTGAGCATCACATCAGAGCTCATCTGTGTCTCTACTGTCTTTACAACGGGCAGTACCCAGGGCTGGCCCTCTTCATCCCTGTAAGCTATTGAAGAAATAGGAATAAAGGCAAAACTCCTGCATATTAAAAGAAGGTGTTGTTTTAAGTAAAGAGATTAGCTCACCGCCAACTGATAGGTTGACTTTTTGGGGGAAGGCGTCCTCCTTGTATTTAGCCAGTACGTTGAATACAGCGTCGGAAGGAGCTGCTTCCATGCCATCGAAAACTGAGGTCTGAGAAGACATGTTTCATAGCTAGACAAAAGGTGTGGCTCAAAGTCAAAATAAAAACAAAACTGTTGTTTCGATTTTTAATTTTTAAAACACCAACCCTTTTGGTATAAGTTTGCAATTTGGTTCTTTCACCATCTCGCAAAGACTGTTATCATTAGTTTCTCTTTCAGCTTTAGCAGCAGCAGTGGTCAGCTTTGCCTGCTGCAGATCACATTAATAGCATTTGGTAAGAAAGCAAAGTTATTTATTTATTAAAGGAAAACTAAACAATAAATAAATAAAGAATAAACAGCTTTTTATAGTCAAGTTAGGAAAGTTATTGGCCAGCGACAACTACCTCATGAATGGCATTAGCAACATAGTCAAGGTTACCATAATTGAGACCACATATATTGATCCTACCACTGGAGAGCAAATAAATATGATACTTCTTGACAAGAACATCAACTTGTGAAGCTAAAAAATAAAGGAAAAGAAGCATTAATCTCATTTACTATAAATACTAAATTACTAATGCATTATTGATTTCTCTTACTATTAAGTCCAGTGTAA